CTGTGGCTGCCCCAACCCTGGCAGTGTTCACAGCCAGGTTGGATGAGCCTTGAGCAACCTGCTCTGGTGGGAGGTGTCCCTGCCACCTGGAGGATGGTGGCACTGGATGATGTCTAAGCTCCCTTCCAACCCCTAAAATTCTGATTCTATGATTTCTGCCCCCAGGGAGGAGCTGGGCAGGTTGTTGAACTATGGAATCACAGAACATGCTGAGTTGGGAGGAACACACAAGGATCATCGAGTCCAACTCCTCACCCTGTACAGGACATCCCAGCAATCCCACCCTGTGCCTGAGAGCATTGGCCAAACACTCCTGGAGCTCTGTCAGCCTTGAGGTCATGACCACTGCCCTGGGGAGCTGTTCAGTGCCCAAACAAACCCTCTGGGGGAAGAACCTTGGCCTAATATCCAACCTAACCCTCCTCTGACACAGCTCCATGTCATTCCCTCAAGTCCTGTGAGAGCAGAGATCAGTGTCAGTCCCTCCCCTGCCCCTCGTGGGGAAGCTGCAGACCCCAAAGATCTCTGCCCTCAGTCTCCTCCAGGCTGAATGAGCCAAGTGACCTCAGCTGCTCCTCATATAGCCCCTCTAGGTCCTTCACAGCCCTGCTCACAGCACAAGGTCACGTTCCCCTGGGGGCACATAAAGCATCACTTTAGCCTGTGGGCACAGAAAATGAGTCCCACACACCCACCACCCTGTTCAATCCTCTCATGTATCTCAGAGATAACAGGCACAAAGCACACTGTGGCTTTACTCACACCCTGATGAGAACAGAGTCTTCTCCAGAACTTGCAAGGCTGTGTGAGTGCAACACCAGCTTCAAGGTAACATGCCCTGTGGGGTTTATCACCCAGTAATGCAGCTTCAGCAGGCTGGGAGAGCACACAGCCTGCCCTGAACATCCCCTCACACCCAGTGCTTATGCAGCAGTTCCACAGCCCAGCAATTTCTTCTCACTGCAGCCATTCACTGCTAACCACATCTTTTCTCCCTCCTGCCTTCTACACCCACAGAGCAGCAAACCACAGGGTTGATGCAGGACACCTAAAGTAGCTCCAAAAGTTCCTTCAGCCAACACGCTGACTCCTTTTGTACACTGCAATCAAAACAAGCTCTCACACCCAGAAACAGAGGGTTGGATTTACCCTTCATCCTCTCAAGTTTTACCTTTCGAAATACACCCGATGGGAGTGGCTTGACCAGCACTTCTAATCAGTGTTTTCAGTTGGGTATTCAACAACACAGAGATCTTACTTTTCCAGTTCAGGCCACATATAGGTCCCTGTTGCTATTTCAGCACATCCTCATGAGCATTAATAGTGTATTTTCTTCTCTGACAAATCTTAAGCCTCATTTTACACTTCCCTCCACCTTTGCTGGACCAAGACCCCTCCAACAGCCCCAGTAAGAACTGAGATGGAGCTGTTCTGGTATTTAGCTTAGGATGAAGAAAAGTTTGGGCAGACAGAAAACTATAGGGCTAATGGTTTCAGACTGAAAGGGATGTGGTTTAGATTAAATATCAGGAAGAAATCCTTCCCTGTGAGGTGTTGAGGCACTGGCACAGGTTGCCCAGAGAAGCTGTGGCTGCTCCATCCCTGGGAGTGTTCCAGGCCAGGTTGGATGTGTTTTGGAGCAACTTGGGCTGGTGGAAGGTGTCCCTGCCCATGGCAGAGAGTGGAACTGGATGATCTTTAAAGTCCTTTCCAACCCAAACCATTCTATGACTCTAAGAATATTGACTGAGCAGCCAGAAAAAAAAAACAGAGACACTGACAGAAATGCACTCAAAGTCCTAACAAGGCAAAGACCTTTCATTGCAGGAGGTAGAATATAGAGAAACTATGGGTTTTCTAGATCATATAATGTGCCAGATTTGCATTGGGAGATGCAAGGTGGCAAGTGAAATCATCTCCCAGTGGATTGTACCAGAAGTTAGGTGCAGCTTATACACTAATTTTCCTGTTTGCTTTGTGCAGAGTCAGCCTGGGCTGTGTTGCACTGGCACGTTTTGCCTGCAGATGAACAGTGTTCAGCAAAACAGCTCAGGGCAGGAACCTCTGCAAACAGTTTTTTGCACACTGTTACCCCATTTAGCATAGCTACACCCTCCCTCAGCAGCATATTCTTTCCTCTTGTCTTCTGGACCTCTTCTAACCAGAGCTGACAGCAGTAAAGGGTCACAATGTATTAGCTTACAATGTTGGGAAAGTTCTTGTCCACAATTAAACTGGAAACTAGAAGAACTGGAAACAGCCAGAAGCCCAACAGCTTTCCTCAGCAGCTCAGACTCACCTTCTGTGACCATAAAAGCCCAGACACCTGTGTTAAAAACCACCTTGAAATGTTAGCCCATAAGAAATCCAATGGGATACTGAGGTTGGAGGCAGTTGATTTCCTAGCATCACATTATTGGGTTTAACATTTAAACTATCCTAAGAGAAGTGGTACATGATCACCTGAGGGGACTTACTTGGCTTCACATCTCAGGATAACCATCCACTGGGCATTGGGTTACTGTCCCACAGCTGAAGAAAGAATTTCCTTGCTGGAAACCAAGCCCAAACCAACCTCCACTCCAGACAGAGTCCTGGCCCAGCAGTAGCAGGTTCCTTAGCTGAAAACAACAATTTAGTGGCTTAGGACATCTCCTAACACCAAAAGTGTTCTCTCCAGAGACAGCACAGCCAAACCATCCTGCAGCCCAAGCCTTCCAACTGGTCATTGCCAGGATGAAATGCAGCAGCAGAGAGGTCTAAGTGCTGCAGAGGAAATAAAAACCAAAAACCAACCTGGGATGTAGGCCATGACCAGAATTGAAGTCACCCTGTGCCCTTGTGTCCATCAAGGGCAAACAGCTCAGTTGAATGGTCCTTAAGTTCTCTGCTCCACTGACTCATTGGCAAGGCAGGTATGGGGTACATTAGTCACAAATTTGAGCTTCAGCTGCCCCTCAGCTATGCTTCACACCCCAGGCCTGAGCTGCAGAGCACATGGCTCAGTCTGTGCTTGTTTTCTCACCAACTCACTCCTTCCTGAGCTGCATGAAAGGCATGAGCCAGTGGCTCAGCATCTTAGCCCACCCCCAAACCTCAGCACTAACTGCAGTTGCCTCCTTGAGACCCAGAACAAAAGAGCATTTACAGCAATTGTTTCTTTTTAAAAAGAGGACAGATCTTTATTAGAAGTCTCATCACTCACAGGAGGTTTGGGGAGAGCACAGTGACCCTGGCAGGAGCCCAAGGCCCCACAGAGCCACATTGGAATGAGAATAAGGCTCCTGCTTTCCTAAACATATTAGCCCAGTAACTTGCCTGGATTCACAGCTGCAATGCTCTCAGGGGACATGGCAAAATGAGGTTATTTCAGGTCGTTTTCAATCTCTCCAGACACCTTAGCCTAACCCCCAGCCAAGGCAGATATCTGCCCTGAGCAGTGCCAAAGTCAGTGAGATAAGGGCAGCAGAGGAGTTGTGTTCCCACTGCTCCTCCCTGCACCAGGAGTGACTCCTCACTGCAGCAAGAGCCACACAGACTGTTCCAGGGGCTCTTCAGCTCCATGGAGAAACTCCTTTAAACATGGTAAAAGCAGCAATCAGCCCTGCCAAGTCTTCAGGCAACACAAGCCCAGTTGTTTCTCAGCTCTAAGTGAGGCTTTTATGGGAGAGTAAATCTGAACTGCAGCCTTAAACAGAGGGAAATTCACATTAAAACCCCAGGGGAAATGTCAGAACACAGTTCTGAGAGGTAAAAGAACACAAGAGAACTGGTCCATACTCCAAGCTCTGCTGGTATGGAGCAGATGTGACACTGAGATCTGCCTAAACAGCACTGTCACCCTGAAAATCTCATCACCTATTTGACTCATTAGCTACACATTCAGCTTAAGTGGCTTCTAAATGAGGCAACCCCAGAGCAGAAAGAGCATCCAGGGGAAGATCTTCTCTATCTTCTCTCACCCACAAAGCACCTGATGATGCTCCTGAAGCCACCCAAGGCCAGGAGAACACCTGCTGATGGAGTTTATTGGCACAGGGCTAATTCCTGGCTGCTGTTTGCAAGGCCCTGAGTCAATCCCAATGAAGTCAGAGTGCTCTGAGATCAGTATCTGTTTGCATGCAGGTGTTAAAAAAAAAGAGCAAAGGAAATGTATCATTAAAAACAAGGAGGTAAAACATTGCCTCACCTCAAGTACCATCACTTCACACGCTCCAAGGACAACTCTGCTACAGCCCTGCAAGCACTTCAGGCTTGTTCAGAGGCTTTCATTCAAGTACTTAGTCACATTGACCAAATCCAGGATTAAGGAGAGGAAGGCTCAGGAAATCTTGGCCACACCCCTACCTAGTCCCAGAGACAGGAAGATTATCTATATTTGATTGTCTCTGCACCAGAAAACAATTCTGTTCAAGAAATTATGACAGAACATACAAACTGTGCAATTATTGGCTGCAGATTGGATGAGTCTGGCACTGCCACCCTCCTGGAGACTGTACCACTGCTGGAGAAGTCAGGGAATCACTGTCCTGTTCCTCAGATTCCCAATCAAATCTCTCTTCTCTCAGCTTTGCCATGTTCCTAGCACTGATCATCTCCTCCAGGGGTAGCAGCCCAGTGCCAGAAAGTCAATTCCAGATCACTTTGAAGAGTTCTTTCCACAGGAATAAACTTCAGCAGCCAGGCCCAAGCCTGGGGGATTGTCCTCAACCCCTTAATGAGCAGCCAAGTGCCCATTAGTTCTCCCAGGTACATCCACTCTCCTCAGCCGTGTCCACCAAAGATGATTTTTCCCCATTTTTCTCCGGACGAAGCGACAGATTTCAACCATAAAGCCCAAAGACACAAGGTACATGGCCAAACCTCCAGCCTTGAGCAGCCAGTTGGGCTCAGGGGATGTGAGCATGGCAAACATGATCCAAGCTCCTCCTCCAATTCGAAGCACCAGGAAGAGGAGGACAAAGAAGAAATCCACCAGTTCTCCCAGGAAAGTGTGGTAACATCCCATCTCCCTGAGGAACCAGCGACTCTGCAGCAGAGGGTTGGTGATCTCACTCACAAACACCACAGCATTCACCTCTGTTGCAGATTTGCCCAACCCCAGCACCATGATCATCCCACAGATGCTCAGTGTGTGGTGGAACAGCATCAGAGCTCCCTCGGTCTGGAAATACAGGCACCAGCCCAGGTCAAAGAGAAAGTAACCCAAGGTCAAGGACAGCACATGGATCTGAAGAGATGTGTTTGCTGAACCTGAAATGAGAGATGGACATAAGCCTGGAGCTTATTTATGACAGTCTTCTACATTATGGAGCAGTACAGGTTGTGATTATTCTTCTTCCCAATTTTCTTTCCAGCCTTATCCCAAGTGCCAGGCTGGAAACTTAGATATCTGGTTCTGCTTTCCCTTCACACCTCTCAGCCTGCCCAGCAAACCAGGCAGCTCATCCCATCCTGCTGTTTCTCCTTCTCTCTCTTTCCACCTTTTTAGAAAGCAGGGATGGAAATCCAGATCTCTGGAAGCTTAGATGTCTAGTTCTGCTTTCCCTTCACACCTCTCAGCCTGCCCAGCAAACCAGGCAGCTCATCCCATCCTGCTGTTTCTCTCTCTCCACCTTTTTAGAAGGCAGAGATGGAAATCCAACCCTCCATCAGCAGAACTATGTGAGATTTACTGATAGAAAAACAGCAAACAACACCCTACAACCAAACATCAGGGGCTATTACACCCTTAAAGATGTGAAAGCCTTTAGTATTCCCAACACTGCTGCAATAAAACTCAAACTGCCAAGCTGAAAACTTTCAGGATGAACATGGATTAACCAAAAAGGATGAGCAGTAAGAAGTGCTAAGGGCAAGAAAGAAGCAGAGTTAAACACACCCTATAGCCAGAAAAGGAAGACAAAAAGCACTCCTAGAGCCACAAGGCCATGTGTGAGGGTGAGACTCCAAACACACCTGCATGGGTCAGAGGCCAAGGGCCATCCAGGAGGGCAACATATCCCGAGAGGAGGGTGACAATGAGCCCGTGCAGCAGAGTGACCAGGCGACAGCTCCACTCGCAGGAACGCTGCTTATTCCACTGGCAGAAGCAGCTGTAGAGACACAGCCACGTAACCAAGCTGCAAATCACCTCCAGAACGATGGGAACCATCC